TATAGCTCCACATTGATCTGGTACTGGTACTCCCTGTATATAGCTCCACATTGATCTGGTACTGGTTCTCCCTGTATATAGCTCCACATTGATCTGGTACTGGTACTTCCTGTATATAGCTCCACATTGATCTGGTACTGGTACTCCCTGTATATAGCTCCACATTGATCTGGTACTGGTACTCCCTGTATATAGCTCCACATTGATCTGGTACTGGTACTTCCTGTATATATCTCCACATTGATCTGGTACTGGTACTCCCTGTATATAGCTCCACATTGATCTGGTACTGGTACTCCCTGTATATAGCTCCACATTGATCTGGTACTGGTACTTCCTGTATATATCTCCACATTGATCTGGTACTGGTACTCCCTGTATATAGCTCCACATTGATCTGGTACTGGTACTCCCTGTATATAGGTCCACATTGATCTGGTACTTCATCCTCATTCACTAGTTAGGTTCCAGGTAGATTATAGGTTGTTAAACTGGATGGATTATAGATTATGGGGTGTTCAACTGGATGGATTATAGATTATGGGGTGTTTTAAACTGGTTGGATGATAAATTATGGGGTGTTAAACTGGTTGGATGATACATTATGGGGTGTTAAACTGGTTGGATTATAAATGATGGGATGTTAAACTGGTTGGATTATAGATGGCTCCAGGCCATCTATAAATCACTGCTAGGCAAATCCCCGCCTTATTTTAGCTCATTGGTCACCATAGCAGCACCCACCCGTAGTCTGCGCTCCAGCAGGTATATCTCTCTGGTCATTCCCAAAGCCAACACCTCCTTTGGCCGCCATTCCTTCCAGTTCTCTGCTGCCAATGACTGGAACGAATTGCAAAAATCTCTGAAGCTGGAGACTCTTATCTCCCTCAGTAATTTTAAGCATCAGTTGTCAGAGCACCTTACCGATCACTGCACCTGTACACAGCCCATCTGAAATTAGCCCACCCAACTACCTCATCCCTATATTGTTATTTATTTTGCTCTTTTGCACCCCAGTATCTCTATTTGCACATAATATCTTGCACATCTAGCATTCCAGTGTTAATACTATTGTAATTATTCTGCACTATAGCCTATTTATTGCCTTACCTCCATAACTTGCTACATTTGCACACACTGTATATGGTCCTCTGTAGCTCAGCTGGTAGAGCACGGCGCTTGTAACGCCAAGGTAGTGGGTTCGATCCCCGGGACCACCCATACACAAAAATGTATGCACTCATGACTGTAAGTCGCTTTGGATAAAAGCGTCTGCTAAATGGCATATTAATTAATTAATTAATTAATTAATTAATAATATATTTTCTGTTGTATTTCTGACTTTATGTTTTTTTTTTACCCCATATGTAACTCTGTGTTGTTTTTATTGCACTACTTTGCTTTATCTTGGCCAGGTCGCAGTTGTAAATGAGAACCTGTTCTCAACTGGCTTACCTGGTTAAATAAAGGTGAAATAAAAAAATATAAAATTATGGGGTGTTAAACTGGTTGGATTACAGTTGAATCACAGGTGGATTAAATTTCATGTTTTAATGTCACGCGCACAAATACCTTACCAGCTCCAAATCCAACAATACAGCAATCAATAACATAAATTGATTATTTAATTACATAGTCTTCCTCCCCTTCATCTGCACTGATTGAAGTGATTTAACAGGTGACATTATTAAGGGATCATAGCTTTCACCTGGATTCACCTGGTCAGTCTGTCATGGAAAGACTCAGTGTGTATACACAACCAGTCAAAAGTTTGGACACACCTACTCATTCAAGGATTTTTCTTTATTTTTACTATTTTCTACATTGTAGAATAATAGTGAAGACATCAAAACTATGAAATAACACGTATGGAATCATGTAGGAACTAAAAAAGTGTTAAACGAATCAAAATATATTTGAGATTCTTCAAATAGCCACGCTTTACCTTGATGATAGCTTTGCACACTCTTGGCATTCTCTCAACCAGCTTCACCTGGAATGCTTTTCCAACAGTCTTGAAGGAGTTCCCACATATGCTGACCACTTGTTGGCTGCTTTTCCTTCACTCTGCGGTCCAACTCATCCCAAACCATCTCAATTGGGTTAAGGTCAGGTCATTGTGGAGGCCAGGTCATCTGATGCAGCACTCCATCACTCTCCTTCTTGGTCAAATAGCCCTTACACCGCCTGGAGGTGTGTTGGGTCATTGTCCTGTTGAAAAACAAATGATAGTCCCACTAAGCCCAAACCAGATGGGATGGCGTATCGCTGCAGAATGCTGTGGTAGCCATGCTGGTTAAGTGTGCCTTGAATTCTAAATAAATCAGTGTCACCAGCAAAACACACCCACACCATAACACCTCCTCCTCCATGCTTTACGGTGGGAAATACGCATGCAGAGATCATCCGTTCACCCACACCGTGTCTCACAAAGACACGGCGGTTGGAACCAAAAATCTCCAATTTGGACTACAGACCAAAGGACACATTTCCACCGGTCTAATGTCCATTGCTCATGTTTCTTAGCCCAAGCAGGTCTCTTCTTCTTATTGGTGTCCTTTAGTAGTGGTTTCTTTGTAGCAATTCGACCATGAAGGCGTGATTCACACAGTCCCCTCTGAACAGTTGATGTTGAGATGTGTCTGTTACTTGAACTCTGTGAAGCATTTATTTGGGCTGCAATTTCTGAGGCTGGTAACTCTAATGAACTTATCCTCTGCAGTAGAGGTAACTCTGGGTCTTCCATTCCTGTGGCGGTCCTCATGAGAGCCAGTTTCATCATAGCGCTTGATGGTTTTTGCGACTGCACTTGAAGAAACTTTCAAAGTTCTTTACATTTTCCGGATTGACTGACCTTCATGTCTTAAAGTAATGATGGACTGTCATTTCTCTTTGCTTATTTGGGCTGTTCTTGTCATAATATGGACTTGGTCTTTTACCAAATAGGGCTGTCTTCTGTATACCCCCCCTACCTTGTCACAACACAACTGATTGGCTCAAACGCATTAAGAAGGAAAGAAATTCCACAAATTAACTTTTAACAAGGCACACCTGTTAATTGAAATGCATTCCAGGTGACTACCTCATGAAGCTGGTTGAGAGAATGCAAAAGAGTTTGCAAAGCTGTCATTAAGGCAAAGGGTGGCTATTTGAAGAATTTGTTTAACACTTTTTTTGGTTACTACATGATTCCATGTGTTATTTCATAGTTTTGATGTCTTCACTATTATTCTACAATGTAAAAAAAAAATATGAAAAACCTTTGAATGAGTAGGTGTGTCCAAACTTTTGACTGGTACTGTATATATACTTACTTACTTTTGGTCATGTATTGTAAGTAAGTAAGTAAGTAAGTATGTATGTATATACAGTACACTACATGTGTTTTTTCTTTATTTTATACAGCAAAGGTAATAACACAGTTACATGAACTAGCTTTTTACACCTTTACTCCACAACCAGTGCTGTTTTTAAGGCATACCAGTTCAAATACAGTGGACTTATGTCCTACAGAGACGGTCTGGATAGTATCTTCGGTGTGGTTCTAGTAGTATTCATCCTCCAGGTCAGGTTGGTAAGGGCTTCGGAGGTAGGGTGGCAGATGAGGGGGCATAGGCCTCAAACCATAATCATCAAAAAGGCTGATGTGGTCCTTGATAAGATGAGGGTCAGATATCAGCTCCAGGTTAGCAGTCTCCTCCCCCCTACCTCTGTTCCTTAGGGGTGCTGCCAGACCTCCACCAATCAGAAGGAAGATCAGGAGGACAGCCATCCAATCACGGGTGTTCATCAGAACCACTATTTTTAAACGTCAACAAAGATTAGTCTGATGGACTGATGTAGAATGAGTCTTGATGGACAACACTATAAAACCTATCGATGTAGAATGAGTCTTGATGGACAACACTATAAAACCTATCGATGTAGAATGAGTCTTGATGGACAACACTATAAAACCTATTGAAAAGCAAAAGGAAATGATATAACCACAAATACCTTTTTATGCCCCTTAGCACCTCCCCTTCAAGAGCACCTGTGGTTGTTTTGGAGTACCTGAAGCGCTCCTGCTACTTATTTCTTATTAAATTATAAAAAACCTAGATGCTAGATTGCTTAGCCAGTCAATAATGACAAGCTAGAGTTAATGAAAATATTTAACCTTGTCGCATTCTATGATGTCATAATGAGGCATGCCATCACAAACCATTCTAAGGTTTCTTTGGATCAGTGACAGAACGTAGCCTACTGTCTGCATCCAGTCAAAAGTTAGCAATAGTAACTCTCCAGTTTATGGACCTAAAAGCCTATGATAATAAGTCTAACATGAGAATATCATGATGCCTTCTATAAGATGCTCTTTAATGGACACCTTCTCTAAGATGCTCTTTAATGGACACCTTCTCTAAGATGCTCTTTAATGGACACCTTCTCTAAGATGCTCTTTAATGGACACTCAGTCAGAATCCTTCCCATAAACTGCCAGAAGAACATGTCCAACGACATTGTTATTGAATATCCCAAAGTCTAATGCAAAACATTCCACAATGCGTCTATGAATCTGAACAAGGCCATCCACCGCACATGTATTACATGTGAAATGAAACCCCCAGAACTATCAGGTTTCAAAACATTCAGGGTAGCACGTCCCATATAATGTTGTGGTTGCAGGCTCCGACTCAGAGCAGACACGCACCGAGAGAGACGCACACACACATCCGCCCCGTTCCACCTCACCGTGCCACATTCCAGGCACTAAGCCTGCAGGTATCAATGATCACACTTAATTACATTTCATACCCAACAAAGATACAACAGCCCCTCATCCAAGACATTAACATTTGATTAACAGCCCAAGTATGATTGCTTTTTTAAAATGTAACTTCTATCGCAAATTGTGTTTTTATTGAATTTCAGGTTTCAAGTTCTTGGCTGCTATCCAAATTGTTTGTTGTTCATTTGGTATTCAAGCGTTCTCTCTTTCTCCCTCGTTGTGTTTGTAGTTACTGGGACACGGCGTATGACAGTGATGTAATGGACAACCGAGTGGGACTGAACCTATTATACGCTCAGGTGAGGGATCATAGGTCACACAGAGGTCATACTGGTTGTCTGTTGGCTTTTTTTTTCTTAATTTGGGGTAGATGGGTATTTTGAATGATCAAGCAGGTCTGAAGCTTAGGTTTGTGTTTAGGATTTCGGATTAAATCTCCTGTATACCTGAAACTGCTTCCTCTTAGGGCAAAAAAATGAAACCACAGAGCATTTTGGTCCTTTAAAAACCTGCTGGGAAACTATAAATGTGACTCTGGATGACAATGATGTTTGTTTCCAACATTAGGGCTGTTTTTCTAAAGTAGCTAAATGTGCTTAGTGTTTTGTTTCCTTGCCACGATACTAACGAGTATCATGATACTGGTATGGTCCCGGCCCTCCTTCCTTCCTGGTATGGTCCCGGCCCTCCTTCCTTCCTGGTATGGTCCCGGCCCTCCTTCCTTCCTGGTATGGTCCCGGCCCTACTTCCTTCCTTCCTGGTATGGTCCCGGCCCTCCTTCCTTCCTGGTATGGTCCCGGCCCTCCTTCCTTCCTGGTATGGTCCCGGCCCTCCTTCCTTCCTGGTATGGTCCCGGCCCTCCTTCCTTACTGGTATGGTCCCGGCCCTCCTTCCTTACTGGTATGGTCCCGGCCCTCCTTCCTGGTATGGTCCCGGCCCTACTTCCTTCCTGGTATGGTCCCGGCCCTACTTCCTTCCTGGTATGGTCCCGGCCCTCCTTCCTTCCTTACTGGTATGGTCCCGGCCCTACTTCCTTCCTTACTGGTATGGTCCCGGCCCTACTTCCTTCCTTACTGGTATAGTCCCGGCCCTACTTCCTTCCTTCCTGGTATGGTCCTGGCCCTACTTCCTTCCTTCCTGGTATGGTCCCGGCCCTACTTCCTTCCTTCCTGGTATGGTCCCGGCCCTCCTTCCTTCCTTACTAGTATGGTCCCGGCCCTACTTCCTTCCTCGTATGGTCCCGGCCCTACTTCCTTCCTGGTATGGTCCCGGCCCTACTTCCTTACTGGTATGGTCCCGGCCCTACTTCCTTACTGGTATGGTCCCGGCCCTACTTCCTTCCTGGTATGGTCCCGGCCCTACTTCCTTCCTTCCTGGTATGGTCCCGGCCCTACTTCCTTCCTTACTGGTATGGTCCCGGCCCTACTTCCTTCCTTACTGGTATGGTCCCGGCCCTACTTCCTTCCTTACTGGTATGGTCCCGGCCCTACTTCCTTCCTTACTGGTATGGTCCCGGCCCTACTTCCTTCCTTACTGGTATGGTCCCGGCCCTACTTCCTTCCTTCCTGGTATGGTCCCGGCCCTCCTTCCTTCCTTACTAGTATGGTCCCGGCCCTACTTCCTTCCTGGTATGGTCCCGGCCCTACTTCCTTCCTCGTATGGTCCCGGCCCTACTTCCTTCCTGGTATGGTCCCGGCCCTACTTCCTTACTGGTATGGTCCCGGCCCTACTTCCGTCCTGGTATGGTCCCGGCCCTCCTTCCTTCCTGGTGTGGTCCCGGCCCTCCTTCTTTCCTGGTATGGTCCCGGCCCTACTTCCTTCCTGGTATGGTCCCGGCCCTACTTCCTTACTGGTATGGTCCCGGCCATACTTCCTTACTGGTATGGTCCCGGCCCTACTTCCTTCCTGGTATGGTCCCGGCCCTACTTCCTTCCTTACTGGTATGGTCCCTCCCGGCCCTACTTCCTTCCTTACTGGTATGGTCCCTCCCGGCCCTACTTCCTTCCTTACTGGTATGGTCCCGGCCTTACTTCCTTACTGGTATGGTCCCTGCCCTACTTCCTTCCTGGTATGGTCCCGGCCCTCCTTCCTTCCTGGTATGGTCCCGGCCCTCCTTCCTTCCTGGTATGGCCCCGGCCCTACTTCCTTCCTGGTATGGCCCCGGCCCTACTTCCTTCCTGGTATGGTCCCGGCCCTACTTCCTTCCTGGTATGGTCCCGGCCCTACTTCCTTACTGGTATGGTCCCGGCCCTACTTCCTTCCTGGTATGGTCCCGGCCCTACTTCCTTCCTGGTATGGTCCCGGCCCTACTTCCTTCCTGGTATGGTCCCGGCCCTACTTCCTTCCTGGTATGGTCCCGGTCCTACTTCCTTACTGGTATGGTCCCGGCCCTACTTCCTTCCTGGTATGGTCCCGGCCCCTACTTCCTTACTGGTATGGTCCCGGCCCTACTTCCTTCCTGGTATGGTCCCGGCCCTCCTTCCTTCCTTACTGGTATGGTCCCGGCCCTACTTCCTTCCTTACTGGTATGGTCCCGGCCCTACTTCCTTCCTTACTGGTATGGTCCCGGCCCTACTTCCTTCCTTACTGGTATGGTCCCGGCCCTACTTCCTTCCTTCCTGTTATGGTCCCGGCCCTACTTCCTTCCCTCCTGGTATGGTCCCGGCCCTCCTTCCTTCCTTACTAGTATGGTCCTGGCCCTACTTCCTTCCTGGTATGGTCCCGGCCCTACTTCCTTCCTGGTATGGTCCCGGCCCTACTTCCTTCCTGGTATGGTCCCGGCCCTCCTTCCTTCCTGGTATGGTCCCGGCCCTACTTCCTTCCTTCCTGGTATGGTCCCGGCCCTACTTCCTTCCTTACTGGTATGGTCCCGGCCCTACTTCCTTCCTTACTGGTATGGTCCCGGCCCTACTTCCTTCCTTCCTGGTATGGTCCCTGCCCTCCTTCCTTCCTGGTATGGTCCCGGCCCTCCTTCCTTCCTTACTAGTATGGTCCCGGCCCTACTTCCTTCCTGGTATGGTCCCGGCCCTACTTCCTTCCTCGTATGGTCCCGGCCCTACTTCCTTCCTGGTATGGTCCCGGCCCTACTTCCTTACTGGTATGGTCCCGGCCCTACTTCCTTCCTGGTATGGTCCCGGCCCTACTTCCTTCCTGGTATGGTCCCGGCCCTACTTCCTTCCTGGTATGGTCCCGGCCCTACTTCCTTACTGGTATGGTCCCGGCCCTACTTCCTTCCTGGTATGGTCCCGGCCCCTACTTCCTTACTGGTATGGTCCCGGCCCTACTTCCTTCCTGGTATGGTCCCGGCCCTCCTTCCTTCCTTACTGGTATGGTCCCGGCCCTACTTCCTTCCTTACTGGTATGGTCCCGGCCCTACTTCCTTCCTTACTGGTATGGTCCCGGCCCTACTTCCTTCCTTACTGGTATGGTCCCGGCCCTACTTCCTTCCTTACTGGTATGGTCCCGGCCCTACTTCCTTCCTTCCTGTTATGGTCCCGGCCCTACTTCCTTCCTTCCTGGTATGGTCCCGGCCCTCCTTCCTTCCTTACTAGTATGGTCCTGGCCCTACTTCCTTCCTGGTATGGTCCCGGCCCTACTTCCTTCCTGGTATGGTCCCGGCCCTCCTTCCTTCCTGGTATGGTCCCGGCCCTACTTCCTTCCTTCCTGGTATGGTCCCGGCCCTACTTCCTTCCTTACTGGTATGGTCCCGGCCCTACTTCCTTCCTTACTGGTATGGTCCCGGCCCTACTTCCTTCCTTCCTGGTATGGTCCCTGCCCTCCTTCCTTCCTGGTATGGTCCCGGCCCTCCTTCCTTCCTTACTAGTATGGTCCCGGCCCTACTTCCTTCCTGGTATGGTCCCGGCCCTACTTCCTTCCTCGTATGGTCCCGGCCCTACTTCCTTCCTGGTATGGTCCCGGCCCTACTTCCTTACTGGTATGGTCCCGGCCCTACTTCCTTCCTGGTATGGTCCCGGCCCTCCTTCCTTCCTGGTATGGTCCCGGCCCTCCTTCTTTCCTGTTATGGTCCCGGCCCTACTTCCTTCCTGGTATGGTCCCGGCCCTACTTCCTTACTGGTATGGTCCCGGCCCTACTTCCTTACTGGTATGGTCCCGGCCCTACTTCCTTCCTGGTATGGTCCCGGCCCTCCTTCCTTACTGGTATGGTCCCTCCCGGCCCTACTTCCTTCCTTACTGGTATGGTCCCTCCCGGCCCTACTTCCTTCCTTACTGGTATGGTCCCGGCCTTACTTCCTTCCTGGTATGGTCCCGGCCTTACTTCCTTACTGGTATGGTCCCGGCCCTACTTCCTTCCTGGTATGGTCCCGGCCCTCCTTCCTTCCTGGTATGGTCCCGGCCCTCCTTCCTTCCTGGTATGGTCCCGGCCCTACTTCCTTCCTGGTATGGCCCCGGCCCTACTTCCTTCCTGGTATGGTCCCGGCCCTACTTCCTTACTGGTATGGTCCCGGCCCTACTTCCTTCCTGGAATGGTCCCGGCCCTACTTCCTTACTGGTATGGTCCCGGCCCTACTTCCTTCCTGGAATGGTCCCGGCCCTACTTCCTTCCTGGTATGGTCCCGGCCCTACTTCCTTACTGGTATGGTCCCGGCCCCTACTTCCTTCCTTACTGGTATGGTCCCGGCCCTACTTCCTTCCTTACTGGTATGGTCCCGGCCCTACTTCCTTCCTTACTGGTATGGTCCCGGCCCTCCTTCCTTCCTGGTATGGTCCCGGCCCTACTTCCTTCCTGGTATGGGTCCCGGCCCTCCTTCCTTACTGGTATTGTCCCGGCCCTCCTTCCTTCCTGGTATGGTCCCGGCCCTACTTCCTTCCTGGTATTGTCCCGGCCCTCCTTCCTTCCTGGTATGGTCCCGGCCCTACTTCCTTCCTGGTATGGTCCCGGCCCTCCTTCCTTCCTGGTATGGTCCCGGCCCTCCTTCCTTCCTGGTATGGTCCCGGCCCTCCTTCCTTCCTGGTATGGGTCCCGGCCCTCTTTCCTTACTGGTATTGTCCCGGCCCTCCTTCCTTCCTGGTATGGTCCCGGCCCTACTTCCTTCCTGGTATGGTCCCGGCCCTACTTCCTTCCTGGTATGGTCCCGGCCCTACTTCCTTCCTGGTATGGTCCCGGCCCTACTTCCTTCCTGGTATGGGTCCCGGCCCTCCTTCCTTACTGGTATGGTCCCGGCCCTCCTTCCTTCCTGGTATGTCCCAAATGACACCCTACTCCCTATATAGGGCCCATAGGCCTCTTGTCTAAAGCAGTGCACTATATAGGGAGTAGGGTGCCATTTGGAACACATCCCATGTCTTTTTATAGCAACACCCCATCACCCAGATACAGCAGCAACATGATGGTGTTTTCCTGAGCATTTCAGAGATGGTTGATCTGATCTGGCTGCTGTGTCAGCTCGGTGTGGGGGTCTAGCTAATGTTATGGGCCAAAGGATGCAATATTTTATCGGAAAGAGAGAATCGGCAAACGTGCGTTTTCATGTGCGTGTGTGTGTGTGTTTACCATTGTGTGCAACGTGTGTGTGCCATTGACTTGTATATGTGTGTATGCAGCTGCCAACTGTGTGTGTGTGTGTGTGTGTGTGTGTGTGTGTGTGTGTGCAATTCTACTTGAACAAACAACAGTGGAATAGTTAGTTTTGGACTTAAAACTGAAGAACAGTTTTATGTAAGCCTCAACGAGGATGCTTTGGAGCAGAAAGATTAAACTTGTCTCTCTTCTCTCCCAAGACGGTGTCGGACATAGATGGAGGCTGGATACTCGTTAACAAGGACCAGCACAGACAGCTCAAGTCACTGCAGGAGAAAGGCTCCAAGAAGGAAGTAAGTAAGACTGTCTCCTAGAACTAGAGAGTGACAGTATTATAGTAGAAGAAGAGTTGAATGGGTTGGAGGCCTCTTCTACCCAAGCTGGTGGAGAGTGACAGTATTATAGTAGAAGAAGAGTTGAATGGGTTGGAGGCCTCTTCTACCCAAGCTGGTGGAGAGTGACAGTATTATAGTAGAAGAAGAGTTGAATGGGTTGGAGGCCTCTTCTACCCAAGCTGGTGGAGAGTGACAGGATTATAGTAGAAGAAGAGCTGAATGGGTTGGAGTCTAAATCTCCTGTATAGTTTTTATAAAAGTGGAGCGATGGTTTCCAATCAACTACATAGTAACTTTGTAGGTAGATGCACAATAAATATTTAACCAACTTATCTCCAGACACCCTTTTAGAAAGATATTTTGGATTTTAAAAAATGCACCTATTATAGAAAACAGGCTCTGTCGTAGCCGGCCGCGACCGGGAGAACCATGGGGGCGGCAGGGATGTAGCTCAGTTGGTAGAGCATGGCGTTTGCAACGCCAGGGTTGTGGGTTCGCTTCCCACTGGGGGCCAGTATGAAAAATAAAATAATGTATGCACTCACTAACTGTAAGTCGCTCTGGATAAGAGCGTCTGCTAAATGACTAAAATGTAAATGTAAAAGGTCATGGTGTAGACGTTGTCAGACTTTTATATTTTTTGTGATTTTCTAGTGGGTCATGTCTTTCTACCTGTTTCTCCAGTTCATTCAGCTAGTTCATGTCTTTCTACCTGTTTCTCCAGTTCATTCAGCTAGTTCATGTCTTTCTACCTGTTTCTCCAGTTCATTAGGCTAGTTCGTCTTTCTACCTGTTTCTCCAGTTCATTCAGCTAGTTCATGTCTTTCTACCTGTTTCTCCAGTTCATTAGGCTAGTTCATGTCTTTCTACCTGTTTCTCCAGTTCATTCGGCTAGTTCATGTCTTTCTACCTGTTTCTCCAGTTCATTCAGCTAGTTCATGTCTTTCTACCTGTTTCTCCAGTCCATTCAGCTAGTTCATGTCTTTCTACCTGTTTCTCCAGTTCATTAGGCTAGTTCATGTCTTTCTACCTGTTTCTCCAGTTCATTCAGCTAGTTAATGTCTTTCTACCTGCTTCTCCAGTTCATTCAGCTAGTTCATGTCTTTCTACATGTTTCTCCAGTTCATTCAGCTAGTTCATGTCTTTCTACCTGTTTCTCCAGTTAATTCAGCTAGTTCATGTCTTTCTACCTGTTTCTCCAGTTCATTCAGCTAGTTCATGTCTTTCTACCTGTTTCTCCAGTTCATTCAGCTAGTTCACGTCTTTCTACCTGTTTCTCCAGTTCATTCGGCTAGTTCATGTCTTTCAACCTGTTTCTCCAGTTCATTCGCTAGTTCATGTCTTTCTACCTGTTTCTCCAGTTCATTCAGCTAGTTTTTTTATTTTATTTTATTTCACCTTTATTTAACCAGGTAAACCAGTTGAGAACAAGTTCTCATTTACAACTGCGACCTGGCCAAGATAAAGCAAAGCAGTGCGAAAACAACAACACAGAGTTACATATGGGGTAAAACAAAACAAAGTCAAAAATACAACAGAAATACATATAATATACAGTGTGTGCAAATTTAGCAAGTTATGGAGGTAAGGCAATAAAATAGGCTATAGTGCAAAATAATTACAATTAGTATTAACACTGGAATGATAGATGTGCAAGAGATGATGTGCAAATAGAGATACTGGGGTACAAGTTCATGTCTTTCTACCTGTTTCTCCAGTTCATTCGGCTAGTTCATGTCTTTCTACCTGTTTCTCCAGTTCATTCGGCTAGTTCATGTCTTTCTACCTGTTTCTCCAGTTCATTCAGCTAGTTCATGTCTTTCTACCTGTTTCTCCAGTCCATTCAGCTAGTTCATGTCTTTCTACCTGTTTCTCCAGTTCATTAGGCTAGTTCATGTCTTTCTACCTGTTTCTCCAGTTCATTCAGCTAGTTAATGTCTTTCTACCTGCTTCTCCAGTTCATTCAGCTAGTTCATGTCTTTCTACATGTTTCTCCAGTTCATTCAGCTAGTTCATGTCTTTCTACCTGTTTCTCCAGTTCATTCAGCTAGTTCATGTCTTTCTACCTGTTTCTCCAGTTCATTCAGCTAGTTCATGTCTTTCTACCTGTTTCTCCAGTTCATTCAGCTAGTTCACGTCTTTCTACCTGTTTCTCCAGTTCATTCGGCTAGTTCATGTCTTTCAACCTGTTTCTCCAGTTCATTCGCTAGTTCATGTCTTTCTACCTGTTTCTCCAGTTCATTCAGCTAGTTTTTTTATTTTATTTTATTTCACCTTTATTTAACCAGGTAAACCAGTTGAGAACAAGTTCTCATTTACAACTGCGACCTGGCCAAGATAAAGCAAAGCAGTGCGAAAACAACAACACAGAGTTACATATGGGGTAAAACAAAACAAAGTCAAAAATACAACAGAAATACATATAATATACAGTGTGTGCAAATTTAGCAAGTTATGGAGGTAAGGCAATAAAATAGGCTATAGTGCAAAATAATTACAATTAGTATTAACACTGGAATGATAGATGTGCAAGAGATGATGTGCAAATAGAGATACTGGGGTACAAGTTCATGTCTTTCTACCTGTTTCTCCAGTTCATTCGGCTAGTTCATGTCTTTCTACCTGTTTCTCCAGTTCATTCGGCTAGTTCATGTCTTTCTACCTGTTTCTCCAGTTCATTCAGCTAGTTCATGTCTTTCTACCTGTTTCTCCAGTTCATTCAGCTAGTTCATGTCTTTCTACCCGTTTCTCCAGTTCATTAGGCTAGGTCATGTCTTTCTACCTGTTTCTCCAGTTCATTCGGCTAGGTCATGTCTTTCTACCTGTTTCTCCAGTTCATTCAGCTAGTTCATGTCTTTCTACCTGTTTCTCCAGTTCATTCAGCTAGTTCATGTCTTTCTACCTGTTTCTCCAGTTCATTCGGCTAGTTCATGTCTTTCTACCTGTTTCTCTAGTTCATTCAGCTAGTTCATGTCTTTCTACCTGTTTCTCCAGTTCATTAGGCTAGGTCATGTCTTTCTACCTGTTTCTCCAGTTCATTCAGCTAGTTCATGTCTTTCTACCTGTTTCTCCAGTTCATTAGGCTAGGTCATGTATTTCTACCTGTTTCTCCAGTTCATTAGGCTAGGTCATGTCTTTCTACCTGTTTCCCCAGTTCATTAGGCTAGTTCATGTCTTTCTACCTGTTTCTCCAGTTCATTAGGCTAGGTCATGTCTTTCTACCTGTTTCTCCAGTTCATTAGGCTAGGTCATGTCTTTCTACCTGTTTCCCCAGTTCATTCAGCTAGTTCATGTCTTTCTACCTGTTTCTCCAGTTCATTCGGCTAGTTCATGTCTTTCTACCTGTTTCTCCAGTTCATTCGGCTAGTTCATGTCTTTCTACCTGTTTCTCCAGTTCATTCAGCTAGTTCATGTCTTTCTACCTGTTTCTCCAGTTCATTAGGCTAGGTCATGTCTTTCTACCTGTTTCTCCAGTTCATTCAGCTAGTTCATGTCTTTCTACCTGTTTCTCCAGTTCAATCAGCTAGTTCATGTCTTTCTACCTGTTTCTCCAGTTCATTAGGCTAGGTCATGTCTTTCTACCTGTTTCTCCAGTTCATTAGGCTAGGTCATGTCTTTCTACCTGTTTCTCCAGTTCATTAGGCTAGTTCATGTCTTTTACCTGTTTCTCCAGTTCATTCGGCTAGTTCATGTCTTTCTACCTGTTTCTCCAGTTCATTAGGCTAGGTCATGTCTTTCTACCTGTTTCTCCAGTTCATTCAGCTAGTTCATGTCTTTCTACCTGTTTCCCCAGTTCATTAGGCTAGTTCATGTCTTTCTACCTGTTTCTCCAGTTCATTCAGCTAGTTCATGTCTTTCTACCTGTTTCTCCAGTTCATTCAGCTAGTTCATGTCTTTCTACCTGTTTCTCCAGTTCATTAGGCTAGGTCATGTCTTTCTACCTGTTTCTCCAGTTCATTAGGCTAGGTCATGTCTTTCTACCTGTTTCCCCAGTTCATTAGGCTAGTTCATGTCTTTCTACCTGTTTCTCCAGTTCATTCGGCTAGTTCATGTCTTTCTACCTGTTTCTCCAGTTCATTCAGCTAGTTCATGTCTTTCTACCTGTTTCTCCAGTTCATTCAGCTAGTTCATGTCTTTTTACCTGTTTCTCCAGTTCATTAGGCTAGTTCATGTCTTTCTACCTGTTTCTCCAGTTCATTAGGCTAGGTCATGTCTTTCTACCTGTTTCTCCAGTTCATTCGGCTAGTTCATGTCTTTCTACCTGTTTCTCCAGTTCATTCGGCTAGGTCATGTCTTTCTACCTGTTTCCCCAGTTCATTAGGCTAGTTCATGTCTTTCTACCTGTTTCTCCAGTTCATTCAGCTAGTTCATGTCTTTCTACCTGTTTCTCCAGTTCATTCAGCTAGTTCATGTCTTTCTACCTGTTTCTCCAGTTCATTAGGCTAGTTCATGTCTTTCTACCTGTTTCTCCAGTTCATTCAGCTAGTTCATGTCTTTCTACCTGTTTCTCCAGTTCATTCAGCTAGTTCATGTCTTTCTACCTGTTTCTCCAGTTCATTCAGCTAGTTCATGTCTTTCTACCTGTTTCTCCAGTTCATTTTGCTAGGTCAGACGCTGAAGTACTTCGGCTACATCAAGTTTGACCCGTGCGTGACAGACTTCCCGGAGAAGGGCTGTCACGTGATCGTCTCCGCGGGCAACAACGAGCTCAACTTCCAGGTCAAGCTGCCCAATGAACAGATGAAGGAGGGGAGCTTCAAGGTCACGCGCATGAGGTGCTGGCGGGTCACTTCTTCTGTAAGTAACCCACCCCAAATTAAGTTACTCTATTCTAATCTACTCTATTTTAAGGGTCCTCTGAACGCTGTATTAGGAGGAGGGTGAAGTTGTTCTCTACGGTCAGTTTTACAAGGGGGGAGGGTTCTGCAGAGGGAACCAATTTCATCATTCAGGTTGGAATCCATCCAAATTATGACCGCATTGGCGTGAGCTTGACCTCTTCCGCTCTCCCCTCGCTCCCCCTCTCCTTTCTCCCCCATTCCCTTCCCCCTTCTCATTAACCCTCCGCAGCGTACCAGGCACATGCTTCTGTTCCTCTCCTCTGGGTAAACTGCTGAGCTCTACACCATCGCTCTTCATCAGGCTACTAACACCCACAACTCCAGAGATCCTTTATCGTATTTGTCTCCCATCCAGAGAGCTGTATGCTAATTCTACGGGTAGCAGGAAGGGACATGTAGGAGGAAAGAAATGTCATTGCTTGACTACAGTTTGAATGTCTTCTCCACACACCTCTATAAAGCACATCTATAAAGTACATTTTTACATTTTAGTCATTTTTAGCAGACGCTCTTATCCAGAGCGACTTACAGTTAGTGAGTGCAATTTTTTTTTTATACATGCAGTGCCTTCATGAAAGTTTTCACACCCCTTGACTTTAAAATGGATTAAATATTGAGATTTTGTGTCACTGGCCTACACACAATACCCCATAATGTCAAAGTGGAATTATGTTTTTAGATATATTTAGAAATGAATTAATAATGAAAAGCTGAAATGTCTTTAGTCAATAAGTATTCAACCCCTTTGTTACGGCAAGCCTAAAGTTAATAACATAATGAGTTGCATGGACTCACTCTGTGTGCAATAATAGTGTTTAACATGATTTTTTAATGACTACCTCGTCTCTGTACCCCACACATACAGTCATGTTCTGGGTATGCTTGTAATCGTTAAGGACTGGGGAATTCTTCAGGGAAAAAAATTAACGGAATGGAGCTAAGCACAGGCAAAATCCTAGAGGAAAACCTGGTTCAGTCTGCTTTCCACCAGACACTGAGACACTGAGATTAATTCACCTTTCAGCAGGACAATAACCTACAACACAAGGCCAAATCTACACTGGAGTTGCTCACCAAGAAGACAGTGAATGTTTCTGAGTGGCCGAGTTACAGTTTTAACTTAAATCTGATTGAAAATATATGGCAAGACCTGAAAATGGTTGTCTAGCAATAATCAACAACCAATTTAAACGATATTGAAGATTTAAAAAAATAATAATGGGCAAATATTGTACAATCCAGGTAGGGTTGGGCAGTATACAGATGTTCATATCGTCATACCGTCCTTCTCTCATCCTGGGATTTACGGTATTACTGTCTTAGTACACAAGGGGGCGCCAAAGAAAGCAAAAAGGCCATTGGGCGTCTGTTACAGTGCAAACAAAATTTGCCAAGTAATAGGGGAATTTCCAGGGAGGCTGCTAGCTCAAATATGCAAATGAGTGCAAACAACTCTTTTTTTTGTTTGGTTTGTTGTTGCAAAACAGGCAGTCCAGCTCAAAGTTTTTACATTATGGGGAGGGCTCCGATGTCTGTTTGAATGATGTGAATGTGAACGGGGGACAAATGAACAGTCCCTGGCTTGTGGGGGCAGAGTGTAAAATCTGGTCTGTGTAGTCTGGAGTCACTAGGGCACGGGCCGGGCCTGCTCGCTCGGAGTCGCTAGGCAACGGGCCTGCCTGCTCTGCTCGGAGTCGCTAGGGCAACGGGCCTGCTGCTCTCTGGGAGTGCTAGGGACGGGCCTGCCTGCTCTGCTCGGAGTCGCTAGGGCAACGGGCCTGCCTTGCTCTGCTCGGAGTCGCTAGGGCAACGGGCCTCCCTTTGCTCTGCTGGGAAAGTCCTAGGGCAACGGGCCTGCCTGCTCTGCTCGGAGAAACGGGGGAGGAGCCAGAACAGAGAGGAGGAAACAACACAAGAAAAAAATAGAGAAATGAGGATAACTCATCCAAAAGGCTTTACTTTAAACACGCAGAAAAGCCAACACAATATGATGCACCGTAACTTAATTAATTCAGCCACTTCCCTGGATAACTAGCAAGTTAAACTTAGGGGTCGCCTAATCCACAATTCTTTTGTTTTTCACACTGGAAAAAATATATAAAACGCACAAGAAAAATCATGAGGCGTTTTGTAAAAATCGTATGTAAAAAGTATTGTTTTTGTAATTTCTGCTCAGCATCAGACTCATTTTGTGTTTCAGTTGAACTTCTAAACTCAGATTTAGAATTCACTAACTGTCATTCTATCAGCTGACCGTACTTTTCTCAGTGTAGCCAGCCCCACTTTTCTCCCGGTAAAATGCAAGATTAACTTTAAGAAAAACATTAGAAAATGTAGCTGGCTACATTATTTCTATGATAACTTAGAAATATGATGGCCATGCATAGTTTTTTAGCAAAAATACCTTTTTCTTTTAACTCATTTAGCCCCCTACTTGTGGCTTGCCACCAAATAGCTTGCACTTCTGTTGTCATCTGTTGAAAATGGTTATTTTTCTGATGAAGGTGTTTCACTAATGTATTTTCGTTTAACAAAACTAAGTTGCATGTCCTTTTCACTCTATTGAAGGAAAAAACCAGACTTTCAATTAAAACGGGACACCAATTGTCAACACACAGCAGGCTCCCACTTTCACCCGTTGTGCTGTTTCCCAAACAAACACGTGACTGGCTCAAACGTTCTGGGGAATATGGGTTAAGCTCATTTAAGGTCAAAATAAATGTGAATGTGTGTGAAAGAAAAACATTTTATGTAAATTATGACAAGTTGATGCGGTAATTATTAAAAGGAGCAAAAAAAATGGTCTTGGAAAAACCATTTCCCAGGCTATTTCCAAAAAAGGGGGGGGGGAAGGGGCCCAAGGGAAACAAAAAAGCCATGGGTTTCCAAAAGGCTTTTAAAATTTTCCCCCCCCGAAAAAAAAACAAATTTACACCTAATTTTTTATTGCCACCCGGATAAAAATTATTAGGGGGGCTACCAAATTTTTGTTTTATGATTGGGAAAAAAGACAAAGAAATACTGGCTTTTGGACCGTGTAATCTGTGTTTTGTAATTTTGGTCAAGCAAGCTGTGTCGTGGAATCTACCCAAGGGGTTACTCTGTCATCTAAGGGGAAGGCCTTTCTCTGGCCAGCGTTTCCCGGAAAAGCGTTGTTGACACAGGGAAAGGGCTGCTTTTCGATCCCGGGGAAGTGCCTGCCTGCTGGGTCAAACCGGGTTTTCTTTTCTATGAGCCTAGGAAGGTGCCTGCGCCTAGCGTTGGGGAACCTCCTGTTGTCATCGTTGGGAAGGTTCTCTGAGGGTTTACTAAGACCCCCCTCTGCTCGGAGTCGCTAGGGCAACGGGCCTGCTGCTCTGCTCGGAGTCACTAGGGCAACGGGCTGCTTGCTCGGGTCACTAGGGCAACGGGCCCCTGCTCTGCTCGAGTCTAGGGCAACGGGCCGCCTGTCTGCTCGGGTCGCTAGGGCAACGGGCCTCCCTGCCGCTCGGAGTCGTAGGGCAACGGGCTGCCTGCTTGCTCGGAGTCACTAGGGCAACGGGCCTGCCTGCTCTGATAGCTCGGAGAAGGCTACGTCGAGTCGTAGGGCAACGGCTGCCTGTTGATCGGAGGAAGCAAGGACAGGAGGGAGAGCCAGAACAGGAGGAGGAAACACACACAAGGAAATCAAAAGATAGCAGCATTAGGATAACTCATCCAAAAGGCTTTTCAAACACGGCAGAAAAGCCAACACAATATGATGCACCGTAACTTCATTAATTCAGCCACTTCCTTGGATAACTAGCAAGTTAAACTTAGGGGTCGCGCTAATCCACAATTATTTTGTTTTTCACACTGGAAAAAATATATAAAACGCACAAGAAATATCATGAGGCGTTTTGTAAACTCGTATGTAAAATGTATTGTTTTTGTAATTTCTGCTCAGCATCAGACTCATTTTGTGTTTCAGTTGAACTTCTAAACTCAGATGAGAATTCACTAACTGGCATTCTATCAGCTGACAGTACTTTTATCAGTGTAGCCAGCCGACTTTTCTCCCGGTAAAATGCAAGATTAACTTTAAGAAAAACATTAGAAAATGTAGCTGGCTACATTATTTCTATGATAAACTTTAGAAATATGATGGCCATGCATAGTTCTTTAGCAAAAAATACATTTTTCCCGCTTTCACCCGTTGTGCTGTTTACAAACAAACACGTGACTGGCTCAAACGTTCTGGGGAACTACGGTAAGCTTCATAATGTCAAATAATGTGACCGGTGAAAGAACGCAATCTGCTTTATCGACTAACATACTGCACAAGTTGACTGCAGGTATTTACTTAAAAAGGAGCTACACATTTTTTTTTTTTTAATGGTCTTGGAAAACCATCCCATGGCTATTTCCAAATACCCCGTTATACGATATACCGCCCAAGCCTAAATCCAGGTGTGCAAAGCTCTTAGAGACTTACCCAGAAAGACTCACAGCTGTAATCGTTGCCAAAGGTAATTCTAACATGTAATGACTCAGGGGTGTGAATACTTATGTAAATTAGATATTTCTGTACTTAATTTTCAATGAATGTGCAAAAATTTCTAAAGACATGTTTTCACTTTGTCATAATGGGATACTGTGTGTAGATTGTGAGAAAAAAATTATGTTTAATCCATTTAGAATTCAGGCTGTACCACAACAATGTGGAATAAGTCAACGGGTATGAACACTTTCTGAAGGCATACAGTTGAAGTCGGAAGTTTACATACACCTTAGCCTAATACATTTAAACTCAGTTTCTCACAATTCCTGACATTTAATCCTAGTAAGAATTCCCTGTCTTAGGTCAGTTAGGATCACCACTTTATTTTAAGAATGTGAAATGTCAGAATAATAGTAGAGAGAATGATTTATTTCAGCTTTTATTTCTTTCATCACATTCCCAGTGGGTCAGAAGTTTACATACACTCAATTTGTATTTGGTAGCATTGTCTTTAAATTGTTTAACTTGGGTCAAACGTTTCGGGTAGCCTTCCACAAGCTTCCCACAATAAGTTGGGTGAATTTTGGCCCATTCCTCCTGACAGAGCTGGTGTAACTGAGTCAGGTTTGTAGGCCTCCTTGCTCGCACACGCTTTTTCAGTTCTGCCCACAAATTTTCTATAGGATTGAGGTCAGGGCTTTGTGATGGCCACTCCAATACCTTGACTTTGTTGTCCTTAAGCCATTTTGCCACAACTTTGGAAGTATGCTTGGGGTCATTGTCCATTTGGAAGACCCATTTGCGACCAAGCTTTAACTTCCTGACTGATGTCTTGAGATGTTGCTTCAATATAGCCATATAATTTTCCTTCGTCATGATGCCATCCATTTTGTGAAGTGCACCAGTCCCTCCTGCAGCAAAGCACCCCCACAGCATGATGCTGCCACCCCCGTGCTTCACGGTTGGGATGGTGTTCTTCAGCTTGCAAGCCACCCCCTTTTTCCTCCAAACATAACGATGGTCATTATGTCCAAACAATTCTTTTTTTGTTTCATCAGACCAGAGGACATTTCTCCAAAAAGTACGATCTTTGTCCCCATGTGCAGTTGCAAACCATAGTCTGGCTTTTTTATGGTGGTTTTGGAGCAGTGGCTTCTTCCTTGCTCAGCAGCCTTTCAGGTTATGTCGACATAGGACTCATTTTACTGTGGATATAAATACGTTTGTACCTGTTTCCTCCAGCATCGTCACAAGGTCCTTTGCTGTTGTTCTGGGATTGATTTGCACTTTTCGCACCAAAGTACGTTCATCTCTAGGAGACAGAACGCGTCTCCTCCGTGAGCGGTATGACGGCTGCGTGGTCCCATGGTGTTTATACTTGCGTACTATTGTTTGTACAGATGAACGTGGTACCTTCAGGCGTTTGGAAATTGCTCCCAAGGATGAACCAGACTTGTGGAGGTCTACAATAATTTTTCTGAGGTCTTGTCTGATTTCTTTTCATTTTCCCATGATGTCAAGCAAAGAGGCACTGAGTTTGAAGGTAGGCCTTGAAATACATCCACAGGTACACCTCCAATTGACTCAAATGATGTCAATTAGCCTATCAGAAGCTTCTAAAGCCATGACATCATTTTCTGGAATTTTCCAAGCTGTTTAAAGGCACAGTCAACTTAGTGTATGTAAACTTGTATATGATACAGTGAATTATAAGTGAAATAATCTGTCTGTAAACAATTGTTGGAAAAATTGCTTGTGTCATGCACAAAGTAGATGTCCTAACCGACTTGCCAAAACTATAGTTTGTTAAAAAGACATTTGTGGAGTGGTTGAAAAATGAGTTTTAATGACTCCAACCTAAGTGTATGTAAACTTCCGACTTCAACTGTACTTCTCTTAAAAGCTGAGAATAGCACGACATCCTTTCTTGGAACCCTAACCCCTGCAGTAGCATTAAGTACCAATGTACACTATACAGTGGGGGAAAAAGTATTTAGTCAGCCACCAATTGTGCAAGTTCTCCCACTTAAAAAGATGAGAGAGGCCTGTAATTTTCATCATAGGTACACGTCAACTATGACAGACAAAATGAGAATTTTTTTTCCAGAAAATCACATTGTAGGATTTTTAATGAATTTATTTGCAAATTATGGTGGAAAATAAGTATTTGGTCAATAACAAAAGTTTCTCAATACTTTGTTATATACCCTTTGTTGGCAATGACACAGGTCAAACGTTTTCTGTAAGTCTTCACAAGGTTTTCACACACTGTTGCTGGTATTTTGGCCCATTCCTCCATGCAGATCTCCTCTAGAGCAGTGATGTTTTGGGGCTGTCGCTGGGCAACACGGACTTTCAACTCCCTCCAAAGATTTTCTATGGGGTTGAGATCTGGAGACTGGCTAGGCCACTCCAGGACCTTGAAATGCTTCTTACGAAGCCACTCCTTCGTTGCCCGGGCGGTGTGTTTGGGATCATTGTCATGCTGAAAGACCCAGCCACATTTCATCTTCAATGCCCTTGCTGATGGAAGGAGGTTTTCACTCAAAATCTCACGATACATGGCCCCATTCATTCATTCCTTTACACGGATCAGTCGTCCTGGTCCCTTTGCAGAAAAACAGCCCCAAAGCATGATGTTTCCACCCCCATGCTTCACAGTAGGTATGCTGTTCTTTGGATGCAACTTAGCATTCTTTGTCCTCCAAACACAACGAGTTGAGTTTTTACCAAAAAGTTCTATTTTGGTTTCATCTGACCATATGACATTCTCCCAATCCTCTTCTGGATCATCCAAATGCACTCTAGCAAACTTCAGACGGGCCTGGACATGTACTGGCTTAAGCAGGGGGACACGTCTGGCACTGCAGGATTTGAGTCCCTGGCGGCGTAGTGTGTTACTGATGGTAGGCTTTGTTACTTTGGTCCCAGCTCTCTGCAGGTCATTCACTAGGTCTCCCCCGTGTGGTTCTGGGATTTTTGCTCACCGTTCTTGTGATCATTTTGACCCCACGGGGTGAGATCTTGCGTGGAGCCCCAGATCGAGGGAGATTATCAGTGGTCTTGTATGTCTTCCATTTCCTAATAATTGCTCCCACAGTTGATTTCTTCAAACCAAGCTGCTTACCTATTGCAGATTCAGTCTTCCCAGCCTGGTGCAGGTCTACAATTTTGTTTCTCGTGTCCTTTGACAGCTCTTTGGTCTTGGCCATAGTGGAGTTAGGAGTGTGACTGTTTGAGGTTGTGGACAGGTGTCTTTTATACTGATAACAAGTTCAAACAGGTGCCATTAATACAGGTAACGAGTGGAGGACAGAGGAGCCTCTTAAAGAAGAAGTTACAGGCCTGTGAGAGCCAGAAATCTTGCTTGTTTGTAGGTGACCAAATACTTATTTTCCACCATAATTTGCAAATAAATTCATTAAAAATCCTACAATGTGATTTTCTGGATTTCTTTTTCTCAATTTGTCTGTCATAGTTGACGTGTACCTATGATGAAAATTACAGGCCTCTCTCATCTTTTTAAGTTGGAGAACTTGCACAATTGGTGGCTGACTAAATACTTTTTTCCCCCCACTGTATATACAAAAGTATGTGGATACCCCTTCAAATTAGTGGATACGGCTAATTTAGCCACACCCTTTGTTGACAGGTGTATAAAATCGAGCACACAGCAATGCAATCTCCATACATTTACATTTTTAGTCATTTAGCAGACGCTCTTATCCAGAGCGACTTACATGAGCAATTAGGGTTAAGTGCCTTGCTCAAGGACAAACACTGGCAGAATGGCCTTACTGAAGAGCTCAGTGATTTCAATGTGGCACTGTCATAGGATGCCACCTTTCCAACAAGTCTGTTCGTCAAATTTTTGCCCTGCTAGAGCTGCCCCGGTCAACTGTAAATGTCCTCAGGGATCCACCCCCCCCCCCCCCCCCCCCCACTACACGGACCAGTAGCTAACTCTACTACTAAACTCCCCTTCAGGGATCTCTTGTTCCATCTCGTTACCCAGGGGGCTTGAGGAGGAAGTGGAAACACTGTGTTTCCAGAAGGAGACCCATATAAACAGTGGGGTCAGTGAGCTAGCACAGCAGGGATGAGAGCCGTTGCATATCTGTCCCAACGACCCAATGCAGACTGGAGGGCCCTTAAGGACAGACTGACTGCTAATGGGAGACGAGTCCCCGTCTCGAGGGAAATGTGTATGATGTAACATCCTGCTAACAAGGGGTTGATAATGAAGGGGGTTTTGGAGGAGAGGAGTGTCCCAAATCGCACCCTATTCCCTAAAGAGTAAACTACTTTTGACCAGGGCCTTATGGAGGGAATAGGTCCTAGTCTTTAGGGATTATTAGCCTGCTCACAGCTATATCCTCTGTCCTGTAGCTAACATTACATTCTCCATAGTGTAGGAGTTCATTAGCTGCACAGACTGCTTGAGTTGGGGGGGTGGTGGTGTCCATAGTAACACCACCAGTAACCATAGTAACCCTGTCCTCTCTCCCAACCACAGCAGGTCCCAGTAGCGAACGGCACATCCTCCCCAACCCCGGCCCCCTGCTCCTCAGCCAAGTGTGAGGTGAAGTTGGAGCTGGCCTTCGAGTATCTGATGAGCAAAGACCGCCTCCAGTGGGTCACCATCACCAGCCCACAGGTCAGAGGTTAGGGTTTAGAGGTCAGGGGTCAGGGCAGGGGCAATCCGGAGTCACCAAGAGGGGATAGGAGTTCGTGACCTCTGCTGCTAATGAATGAAATATCTAGAGTTAGAGTGGTGTGTGTGTGTGTGTGTGTGTGTGTGTCTAATGCCTGGTCTGTGTTTTCAGGCGATCATGATGAGCATCTGTCTTCAGTCGATGGTCGATGAGCTGATGGTGAAGAAGTCAGGAGGCAGCATCAAGAAGGTGATGGGGACAGATACAACAACTGGCCTTAACTAGTCTGCCACGTTCTGACTTCCTGTATTAATTATGTCTTGTTCAGATGCTGAGGAAACGTCACAATGGCTCCCTACATCGGTCTGAAAGTCAGCAAGCTGTGAAATCCCCCCCTCTACTGGTGAGAACAGGGAAATCATGCCACTATGATTATGCCGGAGAACACATTTAGCCGTTTGAATGGAAAGGTCTTCTAGTTGTTTGACCATGTTTGTGACCTGCCTCTCCCCTGCAGGACTCTCCTGACCCAAACCGAGACCAGATTGTCAAACTCTCAGTGAGTAACATTTCTGCTTTGATCTAAATCACAGGATCTCCGTGGTTGAGTCTCTGATTTAGGTGGTTTGGGGTCGATGTGGAAATGTGACTGTTGCTCTATCAATACCTCTCTCTTTTTCTCTCTCTCTCTCTCTCTCGGTCTCTCGGTCTCTCTGTCTCTCTGTCTCTCTGTCTCTCTGTCTCTCTGTCTCTCTGTCTCTCTGTCTCTCTGTCTCTCTGTCTCTCTGTCTCTCTCTCTCTCTCTCTCTCTCTCTCTCTCTCTCTCAGACTAAGCTGAGCTCTGTGTCGCTCAGAGGGATCAGTGCCTCCAACTCAGCCAATGACATCAGCGGCAACGATTTCCATGGCAACTACGCCTTCGAGGGGATCGGGGACGACGACCTGTAATATTCCCCCTCCCTCCCCCCCACCCCTCCCCCTCCCCCCTCCCCCCACCTGTCGAATGCAACCTGCAAAGATTCCAAGCTGAGCCGTGTGCGTTGACTGATGCTGTAAGATTGTAGCCCTTCCTGGGGATCTGCTGCCTGCCTTAAGATATGTCTATTTTAGCTTCACCAAGACCGCCATCTATCTGATGTGTTTCAGCTGCAGAAAGACTGACTACCCACTGCCCTCCCCTGTTTTACAATCCTATCCCTTATATTAAACTCAAAGTTTTGCCCCTGTGTTCTTGATAAAATATCAAGAACATTTAGAACTAAAACTCAAATGACAGTCTGCAGTCTAATTTACGGGGGGGGGGGGGGGTGTGTATTGGAGTATTTTTTCTTCTTCTGTGAAACACTCTCAATTGACATTGAAATGACTATATCCAAGTCGAAACTGTGTAGAAATGATAATGGACCTACATGTATAGTCTGTCCAGCTAGCTGACAGGGAGCATAGTATATTCCAAAAGCGATGGATATGGGAATATTATGGGATATTGTTTGTCCATTTTGATGGCAAGGAAATATAACACATTTTAAGTGCGGCCCTCCGGACCTCGGTGAAGATCGAATGCGGCCCTCCGGACCTCGGTGAAGATCGAATGCGGCCCAAGGAGAACCATTATTTTTTCCCGTTCCGTTGAACTTTACCGACCAGCAAAATAAAGTTCTGAAAGTTAGGGTTTATATTGTTCCTTTTTAAACCTCTGAAATCGAAAAATGTTTTTACATTTAGCTTGACATTAAATAACTTCACCAATGGATAGAGCAGCTTGCTATGGAGCAGGCAAGCTGCAGTATGTACATGCATTGGACAGACAAGTTTAGTGTAGGATGCGACTGATATTTAGCAGGTGAGGAGAGCACTGGGCATCTTGTTGTGATGACATGCATTAACTGAATTGGGCCCACAGAATTATACCTACGGAGGAGCGGCTTCTATGAAGGAACTTTGAATCTTTGAACTTCAGAGAGTTTACTTAACTAACGTTGCACCAGTGCTAGCCCTTGGTCCTGACTCTCCGTTCCATTCCATTACACATAATGCCGCCTAGAGTTAACCAGAGCTAAACCAGAGCTAGCCCTTGGTCCTGACTCTCCGTTCCATTACATTACACATAATGCCGCCTAGAGTTAACCAGAGCTAAACCAGAGCTAGCTAGCTAACAAGCTTGTGTGTGCAGAGCGGCACCAGAATGAAAATAAAAACGTCTTACCTTTTTCTTAGTTAATAAATCCAATGTGAAACGTGATAACTACAGTAGCCTTAACTAGCACTGAAAAAGTGAATCCGTTGTTCTGTAATTACAAATGTTTCTCCCTAATGTTTGAATCACGCCTGTAATGACAGTAGCTGCAGTAGGTTACGCTTACGAGGGAGGGGAGGGGCAGGTAGCTTACGCACACACTGGCAAAGCTTTTCAGCTGGCAGGCAGGCTGGCTGGCTGGCAGGCTGGCAGGCAGACAGGCAGGCAGGCAGACAGGCAGACAGGCAGGCAGGCAGGCAGGCAGACAGACAGACAGACAGGCAGGCAGGCAGACAGACAGACAGACAGGCAGGCAGGCAGGCAGACAGGCAGACAGACAGACTGGCAGGCAGGCAGACAGGCAGACAGACAGGCAGACAGACAGACAGACAGGCAGGGGAATAACTTTCTGAATGACAGTGAGGGCTTTGCATAGGCGCTTTGTTGCGTTTTTTGTGGGACTGAAATATAAAAACCCGGAACGTAAAGTAACATTAACCAGTTCCCATGCTTTTAAAATAACGTCTCGGCTCTGGAACAGTATATATCACTTTTGTTCTCGGTTCTGGTTCTGTTCCTGGAAAAATGTCGTTATTTTGTGGTTTCCAGTTCTATTTCCTGAACCGGTTCCAACCCCTGGTCTTCATAGATGACTTTCTACCATAGAGCATCCTGACATTCCTTCGTTCTACCATAGAGCATCCTGACATTCCTTCATTCTACCACAGAGCATCCTGACATTCCTTCGTTCTACCATAGAGCATCCTGACATTCCTTCATTCTACCACAGAGCATCCTGACATTCCTTCGTTCTACCATAGAGCATCCTGACATTCCTTCATTCTACCACAGAGCATCCTGACATTCCTTCATTCTACCATAGAGCATCCTGACATTCCTTCATTCTACCACAGAGCATCCTGACATTCCTTCGTTCTACCATAGAGCATCCTGACATTCCTTCATTCTACCATAGAGCATCCTGACATTCCTTCATTCTACCATAGAGCATCCTGACATTCCTTCGTTCTACCACAGAGCATCCTGACGTTCCTTCATTCTACCATAGAGCATCCTGACATTCCTTCGTTCTACCATAGAGCATCCTGACATTCCTTCGTTCTACCATAGAGCATCCTGACATTCCTTCATTCTACCACAGAGCATCCTGACATTCCTTCATTCTACCACAGAGCATCCTGACATTCCTTCATTCTACCACAGAGCATCCTGACGTTCCTTCATTCTACCATAGAGCATCCTGACGTTCCTTCATTCTACCATAGAGCATCCTGACATTCCTTCGTTCTACCATAGAGCATCCTGACATTCCTTCGTTCTACCATAGAGCATCCTGACATTCCTTCGTTCTACCACAGAGCATCCTGACGTTCCTTCATTCTACCATAGAGCATCCTGACGTTCCTTCATTCTACCATAGAGCATCCTGACATTCCTTCGTTCTACCATAGAGCATCCTGACATTCCTTCGTTCTACCACAGAGCATCCTGACATTCCTTCGTTCTACCATAGAGCATCCTGACATTTCTTTTAGCCTGTAATTCTGTCGCATCAGGAATCCAAGGTACGTTGTAACAAGGGTGTCAATTCTAGCTCTTCAAATGGGTTACTTATACGCGGAATGTGAGTGTTAAAATGTTCCCAATGTGCCAAAATATGGTTTTCCAATAACTTCTGTAGGGTGCTTGTGTTATTGATCCTCCCCACCATTCACAACAGTGCTGTTTTTAGTGATGATTAGTGGGAGTTTTCACTTGAATCCCGAAGTACAGGTTACAGACTTCATAGGTTGTCGACTTGGTAGTGTGGTTGTTATTAATATTGCCTGTAAGATGATGATTCTAGCCTTTTGCCTCTGGTCCCCCATATCAGAAATGTAAAAAAAAAAAAAACAGCATTGGGTTGCCATAGGTCGAAACGCAAAACCCACCAACCAAGTATCAGCCTTAGCTAATGCGAGCTCGCCAGCTAGAATCTTGCAGAACGAGACGTTGTTTGATTGGTCGGTCGGTTCGGCTGAACTGTGCACTTCCTGAACCCATAATTTTGCACAGTATTACAGACGGAGACGGATATTTATTTAAGTAATGTGGAGTATGGAAAAACAATGGGTAGCATCCCAAATGGCTCCCTATATAGTGCACCACTTCTGGTCAAAGGTAGTGCACTATATAGGGAATAGGGTGCCATGGAATATTTCCAAGGGGTTCTGAAAATCCATCTGATTTCTTGTTTTTTTTTGCCCACCCCACCCCACCCCACCCCACCGATTTGTGTTTTTTCATAAATGCCAAAATTATAGTTTACTTAAGCATTTTGCACAACAAACATTTAAAAAATCATGGTATAAAGTCACTTTTATATATGTACATGCAATTAAAGTATTCTGAACATTTTAGTAATATCTGTATCGTCAATAGTTTGTTGTAATCAAAAACAGATCAAATGTAATCTAAGATTAGGTTTAAAAAACAAACAATTGTTTACAGAATTGTTTTTAGTTGGAATGAAAAGTGTATACAAATTCCACATATGATTGATTATTGATTGTGTTAGTTTGGCAAACAAAGTTTTGGGGATTTGTGGAACATTGTCTTGGGTTCATTTCGTATTTGGAAATAAACAATGTGGCAATCATCTCAAGAGGAGGACTGGGATGAAAAGTGATTTAATCTGTTTATCTGTAATCTCATGTCAGGAAACAGATGAAAGTCTGTATGGAAAAAATGTCATTTTCACAATTTTGTTAAAAATGTGATTCCACATGAGTTTATTCTCTCAAATCATTCCCATTTGTTAGCTTCAATGTAACCTGGATTCCAGGCTTTTTCCTCGTTGATGAACAATACTTAATCTTGTGTTACCATATCTTGAATACTAAGTAAAAATTGACACGGAGGAAGCTATAGGAGGATAGCCTGGTGGTCCAAGATCTGTTTGTGTTGTCTTGCCAAAACCTATGGTCATTATAGCCTGGGTACCAGTCTGTTTAGCGATTATTCCACTCCCCCTGTACTCCGTCGTGCCATTGTTTCACAATCACACAGAATAAAAAGGAGTGGCGCGGTACCCAGGCTATGAAAATGGAACTATACAGCACAAACAGACTGGTACCCAGGCTATGAGGAGGAAGCAGATTCAACCGGCACAGCTGTTCTGATCAAATGTAGCACCATGTCAAGTAAATGAACGCAAACCCATTGGCTGTGCTCTTATTGGTCAGCTAGAATGGATGGATGTTTTCTGGAGAGAATGTTGTTCTTTACGTCGTCCGGGTCCAAAATGACACCCTACAGTATTCCCTATATAGTGCACAACCTGTGACCAGAGCCCATAGAAAAGGGTACTACAGTTGAAGTCGGTAGTTTACATACACTTAGGTTTTTCAACCACTCCACACATTTCTTGTTAACAAACTATAGTTTTGGCAAGTTGGCTAGGACATTACATTTACATTTTACATTTTAGTTATTTAGCAGACGCTCTTATCCAGAGCGACTTACAGGAGCAATTAGGGTTAAGTGCCTTGCTCAAGGGCACATCGACAGATTTTTCACCTAGTCGGCTCGGGGATTAGAACCAGCGACCTTTCGGTTACTGGCACTACGCTCTTAACCACTAAGCTACTTGCCGCCCCAATATCAGCAGCCTAGTCAAACTGTGCACTGTGCACAGCTTCATGCATTG